CTACAACCATAAAATTGTTTCCACTGCTATATCATAACTGTAAATTTTCTACTCTTATGAATTGGGATGTAAGTATCTGATATTTTCTGGTGGTCTTTGGTGGCCCCTGTGAAAGTGTCAGCAGATCCTCCCAGAGGGATCGAGACTCACAGGTTGAGAGCTGTTGGGTTAGGTGAAGCAGGGTAGTAATTGGTAGATTAGTTCAGGAAGGCAATAGAAAGTAATAAAGAAACCACAGCTCATACATGAGGCTTATTAGGAGAAAGGGCATGGTGAGCACCTGAGTCTTGGGTGGAAGAACATAGAGAGGAACAGTACATTATGTTGGAGATAATATGAATGGAGCCTTGGGGGAGCAACAGGCTTCCCTTTGAAACCTGGACAGGAAGGACCTTTATCAAAAGTGACAGCTTAAAGTAAGAAAGGTAAGGGTCATGGATTCTATGATGGGGTCCAAAGAAGCCACAGGCAAAATCCCCAAAGAAAGGAAAGTATCTGACATTTATGTCCTTTCAGGGAATGGTAGGAGTTTCTCAAAATTTCATTTTAGGAGACAACATGGATGAGTCAGATATTAGGAGCTGTTTGGCCACAGAATAATATGGATTCTTAAGTATCTTTCAGAGAGAGAGAGAGAGAGAGAGAGAGAGAGAGAGAGAGAGAGAGAGAGAGAGAGAGAGAGAGACTCTGAAACTCTGTTCCCAATGCACTAACCTCCAGTAGCTCCATGGATGGCGCTTGTAGCCTATTTTTCAGGTACTCCATGTAGTTTCTGAGGGTGGTCAGCTGTCTCTCTGTTTCAGTGACATACTCTTCTGTCTGCTTGACTCCCTCCTGCTCCAGCAAGCTCAGCCTGGACAGGAGAAATATCGTTTCCTCTTCCAGTCTCTGGCGCACATTCTTCAATTCCTGAAGTATCTTGAGTTTCTCTAGATGTACTCGGGCCTGAGGACAAGGGAAGGGATTCAGAGATGAGGGAGGAATGAGAGAGAATCTTCCAAGCTTCCTTTAAGCCTATCACTCACTTTTTAAAGCAATCAACCATCAATCAATCAATTAATTAACTAATTACAGGTAAAGTCTCACTATATAGTCCTGGCTAGCCAGGAACTGACTAAGAACAACAGGTTGGCCTTGTATTCATAGAGATCCACCTGTCTTTGCCTCCTACATGCTGGAATCAAGGGCATGCAAAATCAGGAACTATTCACTCTTTAGGAGTATCTAAGGATTATTCTGAGACTGGTTTAGAACAGTTTGCTGGGGCATACCTGTGGGAAAGGGGGAGGGGAAAGGAGATCAAAGCACTTCCTGTGTTCAAAGATTTAGGCTCAATGACTTTTTTTTTACCTTCAAGGACATCAGCCAGATGCACAACTAAGAAATCTTAGCACCTGGGAAGTGCAGACAGGAGATTTAGGAAGCCAAGGCAAGCCTCCATTCAAGGCCAGCCTGGACTACTTGGGCCACTCTCTCGACAAACAAACAAAGTCATAGAAAACCCAGGATAAGGCTGTAGTTCAGTTGACAGGGTGCTTGCTTAGCATGTGTGTGCTCCTGGATTCCATTCTCAGCACTGCATAGTCTGGGAATGCTGTTATAGCCCTGTAATTCCAGTACTGGGGGAAAGACAAAAGGTCAGATGATGAAGGCTATCCTTTCTTGTATAACAATTTCTAGTTTGTGCTACATATGATACTGTGTCTAGGAGCTGGAGATATGGCTCAGTAAAGGACTTTGTTGCTCTTGCAAAGGTCTCAGATTCAAATCCTAGAACACACATGGTAGCTCACAACCATCCTAACTCCAGTTCCAGGGATCCAGTGCCCTCTTCTGATCTCCATGGGTACCAGACATGCACCTGGTATACATACACACATGGAAGCAAGGCATTCATTCACATAAAATTAAATCTAAAAATAAGTAGATATAAGATTCTTAAAAGTCAGTTGGGAAGAACATAAACAAATGAAAAAAGAGAGAAAATATATAGAGAGAGACAGAGACAGAGAGAGAACTCGTCTCAGTTTAGCTTCCTTCATACTGAATTTCCCATGGATGGAGCTGAAGAGATGATGCAGGGGTTAAGAATGCTTACTGCTCTTCCGAGGACCTGAATTCAGTTCCCAACATCTATGAAGAGCAGCTCACAAATATCTCTATTTCCAGTTCTTCTGGTTTCTGCTAGGATTTGCACACACATGACTTTCACTAACACAGGCATATACACATAGAAAAAAGTAATGCAGAAACCTTTTAAAAAAGTGAACAAAATCAAAACCGGGTGGAGACATTTGGTGGTGTCATAGTCTCTTGTTTTTTCTTACAGTGTAATCAGTCTCTAGTAAAAGGGGGCTTGTGTGAGCCAGTGTGTGTGTGTGTGTGTGTGTGTGTGTGTGTGTGTGTGTGTGCAGTTCTTACAAAGCTTGCTATGGGTGGAGGACCAGAAGCCCTCCTGGTTCACTGAAGCAGCACCCAGCAGGTAGGTCCCTACAGCTCAGGAGCACGGCTCAGGCACCACACCTTCTGCTCTGCCCTCGCCATCTTGTCAGCAGGACTTTGTTCCAGCCTGGTGTATGAGGAGTGCTCAATATTTCCTCAACAGAGATGCTCAACTTCCTCAGAAGTGTTTGGAGTTTATATTTCTTACCCTGAACACCTGGGTTGCCTCCTCACATTCCTTTTTCTCTTTAATTATTTCCTTGTCCTTTTGCCCCAAGATCTGGAGCTGTGTCTCAATCTGCACCTGTGGGGAGAGGATGCTTCAGTCAGGTTCTGCTTCTAGGGAGACAGGGAAGATATCCCAGGGTACTGATGTCATTATTAGCAGCCCCCCTTTCTTTCTCAGGGATCAAACTAATTTTCCCCTTTTATTATGTAATCCTAGGGTCAAAGTCAAGTCCTCAGACTTGGCGGCAAGTGTCTTTAGTCTCTGAATTATCTCCTCTGCCCCCAAGTACTATTCTAATTATTCTTCTTGCCTTGATTACAGATTGGTATTTCCCAGAACCTGGATCCTTGAGCTCACTGGGCCCAGCTGCCAACTGCCAATTCAAGTGTTAAGAGTGCAGCAGTCAGTGCCAACCAGATGGAAAAGTCAGCAGTTCCCAGGTCCCCAGGGAGTTCTACTCTGCTGAGCTGGGGACAGAGAAGGAGACAGGTGCCTACCTTGTAGTTCTGGGCAGCCTCATCTATCAAGGTAACGTCATGGGTTTTGTGGTCCTTAGAGTCACGACACACCAAGCAGAGGAACTCTTTATCCTTCTCACAGAAGTAATTTAACTTTTTCTTGTGCTTCAGACATCTTGGCTCTTCTTCTTCTGGTTGGTTCTCAGCATGACCCTTAGCCTGGATTTCCTCTTCAGGAGTAGTCAACAGCTCACTGGGCCTCAACGTATTCTTATTCACAGGGAGTTTGCAGAGCGGACATTGGAGGTTTTCTGCAGTTTTCCCAACCTGATTGATGCATTGCAGACAGAAGTTGTGCCCACAGTCAATGGTGACAGGATTCTGTAGAATTTCCATGCAGATGGGGCAGATCACATCCTCCAGTAGTTTGCTGTCCTGCTTTATGCCTGCCATGATGGAGCAGCAAGGCTAACTTGATATGTGAAAGCCCAGAAGTCCGAGGCAGGTGCCAGTACTGGCAAGAGAAAATGAAACAGGAAGCAGAGGCTAAAGAGCCTCTCAATTGGAAGTCTAGAGAAGGACAAATGAAGAGGGGGTTAAGTAAATGAACAACAGAAAAGAGGAAAACTTATGGGGAATATTATAAAGAGAAGAAAACAGTCAGTCCTACCTCACCGTCTCTCAAGAACAAACAGATACTGTGAGTGTGAGTTCCTGCTTCCTATAAAGTAGAGCAATGTTCCCTGGACCTTGAACTAATTATCTTTACAAAGCAACTGTCTGAGAACAGATGATCCAAGTGTCAAAGTTCACTTTACTACAGGTAGGGAGTGGAGCAGCTAAGTGGCATTACAGGGAGATGTGCTGAAGGCATAAGTCACAAACAATCCCACACCAGTTTGGAATTATGATTAATAGAGTGATTATTTATTTAAGGGGGAAAAACTTACAGATCACCGTCCCAGACAACAGCCCTCGGCACAATCAGGAAGAGAGCCTAGTCGCCAGAAGTGGAGCCAGAAGCCAGAGAGTGAGTGGAGGGAAGTGGCTGCTTTTTTAAAGAGTGAGAGAGCACACCCCCTGGTATCTCAGTGGCTATTGGTTGAAGGAACGGAAGGAGCTCCTGCAACACCTCTCCCTTTTGTTTAAGTAAGAGAGTTCTAAACCTACTACGAAATTATATACAATAAGTACAAATATCCTATTCTAACTAGCTTAAGTCTTGTATAATAAATAACTTGGCCAAGTTATGCGAGGAAAGTAACTACATTTATATAATTTTCAACCATATCAAAGATCTGAGAAGGGAAATAATGTTACTGGAATAATTGGGAAGTGCAATTAAACAACTTCCAAAGCATGCAACAAATCACAGGGACAACTAGCTACTTGGGCAATCACCCAAGGTCACGTTTGCAACGTTGAAGCAACCAACTTTGGCTAAGGCCTAACATAACTGACATACCATTTTCAAAAGCAAGACACTTTTCAAAACTCTCTTACCCTGTCTTGGCAGGATATGACAGTCCTGTTTTATCCATTGATGCACGCTCTCTATCTCTGTCAGTGGTTGAGGTATGGGCATTTCTTTGCCCAAAGGCCAGTTCTGCCAAGAAGAAAGGCTCCAGGTAGAGTGTCTTTGGTGCTCAACATTCTCTCGGGAATAGATCGGTGTTGCTAGGAGCAATTGTGTCTCACTACCACCAAACTGAGTTAGATTAAAGGCCATTTTCTACAGCTCTTTGAAGAGGTTGAAGATTATCTATCTATACTGAATATAATCTCTATGTATCTAAAGAACCTGATTAGTCTAATTATAAATGAAAAACATGGATGACTATTGATCTATATAATTCTCAATACCTATCTAACTTAAAGACTAAGACAAAAAACAACTGTGCAATAAATGAGGACAATATGACCTCCAAATAAAAACAATGTACAAATATACAGTGTAATATGGTAAATATATATATCAATACATAAACAATATATAAGTATCTTAATCAGAGGTAGAAATGTACACTGCAATGTGGTAAATATATACAATATATATCAATACATAAAAAATGTTTTAAACAGAGGTAGAAGCATGCATGTATACAATTGTTGAAATAGGAGTGGCAGGGCTGCATCCCCAGCACCCCGGCTCCTGGTTGCCTGGCTAGCTTATGCCTGAAATAACAACACACAAACTGTATTCATTTAAGAACTGCTTGGCCCATTTCTATCTAGCCTCTTCTAGGCTAATTCCCGCACCTGGACTAGCCCATTTCTAATAATGTGTGTAAGCACCCCAAGGTGCTCTTACCAGGAAGATTCTAACCTATGTCCATCTTGGGTTGGAGCTTCATCGCGTGTGCCTCAGAGAGCAGAGCTATCGGGAGAGTGGAGCATGGCATCTCTGCTCCAGAGCAGAGCTGTTGAGTTTGAGCTCACTTCCTCTTCCTCCCAGCATCCTATTCTGTTTACTCCTCCCACCTATGTTTTAACCTATCAGGGCCAAGGAGTTTCTTTATTGCTTAACCAATGAAATCAACAGATTGATATATGACACTCCCACATCATACAATAGTCAATATAATTTAACTTTGTATCAATATACAAGAATCGATACCATTATATTTGTCTAAAAACAGTAACTCACAATTACAAACCTATATCCAATCATCCAATTATCCCTCTTTTTTTTTTTTCAAAAAGATCCCTGAGCTTATAAAATTCCTCCCCCAACCCCCAACCCTCAACC